TTGAACAAAATCTACCTATAGTACCTGAAATAGGCACGGGCGTCAAAGCAGTGAATGACACACTTGAGGAATTTGAAATGACTTTGTCGCGGACTAATGGTGACCTTGAAGGTGTTGTCGATGACTTAAATAATCGTTCACGAAGAAATAACTTGCTAATTAAAGGTTTAGTGGAAGAGGAGAAAGAGGACTATGAGGCTAGCGAAAAATTAGTCAGGGATTTCTGTTCCACGAAGCTAAAAATAAACTTGCAACCTGGTGACATTGAACGGACGCATCGAATTGGGCAGCCTCGTCCTGATTTTACGCGCCCACTGATAATAAAGTTCTTGAATTTCAAGACGAAGGATTCCCTTCTTCGAAATGCGCATAAACTCAAAAAGACTGAACCTAAAGTCTGGCTCGAGGAAGATTTCTCCCCTAAAATACAGTTCGCAAGGAAAATGCTCCGCGATTTCGCTAAACGGAACAAAGAGAAGGATGAACGCTACAGCATACGGTATAACAAACTGAAGCTCAAAGGACACATTTACCACTATGACGCGGTTTCCGCAAGAGTAGTTCAGGCAGACCCTCCGAAAATTCCCATCACGGATTGACAAGCTGTCCGATTCAAGCCTAGTAAAACAAAAGTTCCAAACCTATCTACACTTCTCGCTAACTTCCGTAGCATTATAAATAAGGTTTATTTGTTGCTTTCAGTAGGTCACGCATGCTCCGCTGATGTAATTCTAGGCACTGAAACATGGCTCCGTGAAGACATACGCAATTGTGAACTATCACTTCCAGATTATTTCACGGTCTTCCGTAAAGATAGAACTTTGTCTCGGGGCGGTGGCGTCTTAATAGCTGTAAGAAACTCTTATCAACCCTCCCTTGTTACTATTGATACCACTCTCGAGCTACTCTGCGTAAAAACCCAATTTGAAGGCTGCACTTGTGTTATCGGGGTCTGCTATCGGGCGCCTGACAGCAAACCAGATTTTGTTGATCGCCTAACCCATGTACTAGAATTATTTTTTAACAAATTTCCTCAGTGTGTCTTGCTGCTTGGCGGTGATTTCAATTACCCCTCCATTAACTGGGTCACACCATCATCGCTATCAATATCTCTCGGACTTGAAATATCTCGCTTCCTTCGTACCTTAAAACTATTTCACCTAACTCAAATGGTAACTGCACCGACGCGCGGCCATCACATCCTCGACTTAATTTTTACAAACAATCCGACAAACGTTGTAGTCCAAGTCCTTGATGAAATTAGTGACCACAGAGTAGTACACTGTTCCCACCCTCTGCCTCTCCTTAACAAGAAAATAAAGCCTAAACGCATACTAAATTACAAAAAAGCAGATATTGAAAAAATTAATTGCATGTTAACCGAGTTTTTGTGTTCTTTTCTGAACGAATTTAGCAATCATACCACAAATTAAAACTGGATAATATATCGGGACTTCCTTAAAAAAATTGAAAATACGTGCATTCCTGTGGTTTCCTTCACATCTCAAACAAGTGCTCCCTGGTTTTCAAAGAAGGTTAAAAGTTGCCTAAACAAAAAGAAAAGAGCGTACCAAAAGGCTTCGCAAATTAACAGTCACCGCACTTGTAATAGGTATAAAGAACTAGCCCAGGAGTCAGAAAAAGCTATTAAAGAAGCTAAGGATTATTATTTCAATGATACGCTGCCGAATCTGTTAAAATCTGATCCGAAAAAGTTTTGGCGAGTTCTTAACCCTAAGGATACGGACACTATAATAACATTAAAAGACGCAAATGGGTCGATTGTACCCACCTCTGAATGTGCTGAGGTTTTAAACAATGTCTTTAGCGAAGTTTTTGCAGACGAACCACCTCTTGACGAGTCCTGTTCCGTCACTCCTACTCCAATTACTTGCCCAAGCGAGCCCATTGTCGTAACGGAAGTAGGTGTATCACGTGCAATTGCTAGACTTCCGCTTCGGTCCAGCCCTGGACCTGACGGCATCAGCTCAAAACTACTGAAATTAACTAGTCACGTATCATCGTTTTTATTGTCCTTAATTTTTCAGCAATCGCTTGATTCTGGGTGCGTCCCTGACGATTGGAAATCTGGTCACGTTAAACCCATTTATAAATCTGGTGATCCCTCAAGTCCAAAAAACTACCGCCCGATTTCACTCACATCAGTTTGTAAACTCCTTGAACATATAATTTACTCCCACATAATGAGACATCTTAATACTAATAAAGTGTTATTCGAAAATCAACATGGGTTCAGGTACAAGCGGTCTTGTCAGACACAGTTATTTGAATTATCTACGGATTTACATGACTCTTTGCACAAATCGGTTTACACAGATGCTGTACTTATCGACTTTTCTAAAGCCTTCGACCGTGTTCCCCACATACGGCTCATCCAAAAAATAAACTGCCTAAAGTTAGACATAAAAACTACCCGCTGGATTCAAGAATTTCTATCTGGTCGCTCTCAAAAAGTAAATATAAATAATAATCTCTCCAGTTCCTGTGTCGTTAGGTCAGGAGTACCTCAGGGATCAGTTTTAGGGCCTTTATTATTCCTGATATATATTAATGACATTGCTAACAATATAACTTCAACAATTCGACTGTTTGCCGATGACTGTATAATTTATAGACAGATCACATGCACTGATGACGTAGCTATTTTCCAAAGCGATCTAAATACCCTGGCTAAATAGAGCCACACGTGGAAAATAGAAATTAATACAGATAAAACAAAGGTCATGTCATTTTCTTCGAATCCAAATACTCCATTAAATCGATACATGTTATGCAGTTTGGATATTAAACGAACCTTTTCTTTCAAGTATCTTGGCGTGATATTTACTCCTGATTTAAACTGGGCCATGCATATTGAACACGTAACAAACAAGGCACTAAAAAAACTTGGCTTTCTTAAGCGCCGTTTATATCTCGCAAACCATGAAACTAGACTTCGCGCTTACACTTCCCTCATCCGTGCAACCCTCGATTATGCCTCAATTATTTGGAACCCTCACACAGCTATACTGTCCGACTGTATTGAATCTATTCAAAACAAGGCTGCCCGCTTCATTTTGCACTCGTACTCGCCATACCAAAGTGTCTCAGCATTAAAACAGATTCTTAATCTTCCAGAACTTAGCACTCGTCGTAAATTCTTCCGCTTGACCTTTTTTCACTCTCTGTATCATGGTATTAAACCTTTTTCATGCGCTCATATTATTCCGGCCCATTATGTGTCCAATCGCACTGACCATGCTCGTAAAGTGTCGTCCATATTTGCAAGGACCAAAAAGTACCAAAATTCCCCTTTTGTGTTATCTGTAACCGAGTGGAACGAGCTTCCCAGCGAGATTGTGATGATAAATGATCCGTCTGCATTCCAATCAGTGCTGCGTACATTTCTTGATGTGTAATATGTCTACTGCTACTATATGTTACCCTGTTGTTATATCTTGTGTACCAGCGAAACGATGATGAACTAGTGCCATGCGGATTCCTGGAATTGAAATGTACTGGAGATGTGAAATCAGCCATGTGTTACATCCTTGTCGTAAAATGTACCTTTTACCTAGTTATGTCTGATCGCTGTGTGCGGTCCTTTTATATGAATTGACGTATACCTTGTTTTTAACAGTATCCCCCCTATGTAATGCCTCTCGAGGCCTTTAGGGTATTCAAATAAATAAATAAAATCATGTTTGGATGTGTCATTTACCTATGTCGTCCGTTCGCATCACGTAATACCGAGTTTGGTGCATGTGAAGCTAGCGAAACGCCCACGAGCGCATCATGAGCGTAGCATGTAGGCATGTTGTTACATGACACGGATCTCATGTTTATTATGTTTGCACCAGTATCACACCTTCGTCATTCATTCACGTCCCGTATACCAAATTTGGTATAAGTGAAGCTAGCGAAACAGCCGCCAGCGCATCATGAGCGTGGCATGTAGTCATGTTGTTACATGACATGCATGTCATGATTTTCATGTAAGGGTCTGTCGCTTGTGTTCGCCATGCACTCATGCCATGCCATACCATTTTTGGAACATGCCATGTGAACGAAACCACCGCAAGAGCTGCAGGACCAAGAAATGTAAATCATGACATTCATGACATACATGTCATGATTTTCATGTTATGACTAGTCATATATGTTCTTCATGCAGTCATGTTATGCCATACCAAGTTTGGTATCGATACTATTATCGAAACGGCCAGGAGAGCTAAATGTCGTAGGCGGCTAGATAGATAGATACGCTCAGAGTTGCTGAAGCTCGCTAAAAATGCTTCGCATTTAAAACTAAGCGCGAGGACTAAAATTCAAAATCTACTGAATTCTACTCATATTGCTCGAAAAAATCTGCTACCATATTTTTGTGTGTCGTGGAAACACTGCGCCCCTGTTGCGAGCGCGAACTATATATAAGTCGCGCGGCCATAGGACGGCTCCAAATTCTGTCTACTGGTAAACCCACACACGCAGTTAATGCTAACGATCCTCCCGCGAATTTTCGATCACGCTGCTTGACTGAGGCAAGCGTTAATTTGTCCTGTTACTGTATTCTAGTATATTCGAATGGTCTTAGACTACTATGTTGCCCTAGCTTTGACCAATTTTTTTCTGGCGTTACATCGTGAGCACACTTATCAAAACGAAGCTGTGTTGATAACTGTATAGTGTTTCATCTTTCAAGTGATGAGGTTATATTACGCGTTCAGCGCGCAAGATACCCAAGAGGTTCAATAACGCGTAACGTCCGCTCATGGAATGCGACTCCAAAAGCATGTTTTCAAATATTACGGCCTTTCAAAGAGGGCGCCACTGTTAATTTCGGATTCAAGTCTTCAGGCAGTTTGTTTACTGCGCAGCAGCTCCACGTGTGTTCGCTTAGCTGCTTCTCGTGCGCGCGCTCGCCACTCGTTAACTTCCTCCAAAAATGGCGGCTGCCGCTTCGAGAATGGTACCTCGAAGAACATTCTACGTTATGGGACGATGTGTCTAGTCTTCGTCCGTAACTGTCCTGTGTGCAAACGTGACGTTCTGTGTTCGTCTTGGTGTTGGTTGCAGGAACTGTCGATGCGCTTTTTTCTTTAATACGTCGAAGTACAGTAAGTATAAACAGTGAACCTCCGGGCGATCAACTGTAAACACTGCATGACTATGCACTTCTTATCTCGCACGCTTTAACCTTGGTATGAAGCCTTGAAGTACTCAAGCGCATCAGTAGTTTTACTACCATGGTAGCCGGTCCTGTGTAGCGCTGCTAACAAGCCTTCCTTGCATTCGTAGGTGCTGCTACGAGAGAATGCTGCTCCCAATATCGATGGCCTTGCTCTCGGTCGAAAACTTTGCGAGATTATCTGAGGTGTGTCAGCTCTTGCCAAATTATTCATTTTGTTGTACTAACACCGGTGGCCTTATCTGTTACAGCATATATCTATGTAAATGTCTACAAATCTGCAGCCTTGTACGCGAAGGGTGCATGATGTTACGTTGTCGATTTCGTAATTTCAAGCATTAGAAACGTTGTTCATTGTAATTTGATTTAAGCTTAAACTTTAGGCGGCAGTTAATTACGAGGCGCTGTGTCAGGGAAATCCAGATTAGTTCATTCCGTCTCGTTTCACATCGGAACTTTCCGTGTGTTTGCGAAGAGCGTAATGTTAGGCGTTGTAAGTGTATTTAGGCAAAAACTGTTACGCCTTGTAATGTTTTCAATGTAGACTGGACACTTTTTCTGAATTTAAGAGTGATTGCCTTTGCCTCTCATAAAAAAACAAACAAAAAAGACAGACAAACTCGCCTGCCTTACTTCGTTCATGCATTGATATTCGAATAATCGTTTCATGTTAGCCGTTGCCATCTAGCCGTGTTTTGTATTATCTTACGTGCAATACAGTGATGTTATGGCCTTTTTACGTTCTAGTGCATGCACTAAATAAAATTTCAAAAGTATGAAAGAGTGAGCATGTCATAACTACTATTTGCTTCTCTTTCAGGTTACAGTTTATTTAGGGATGCTACTGTTCATAATCTTTCTCATATGGAGGTGCTTCAAGAAACCTCCAATCTATGAGATACCAGCTTGGGACATCACCAAAGGCCACCGTTGGTCTGTTACGGACATCCTCAGCCGCACAGGTTATTGCAGTGTCTGTGAGAATCTAATTGTGGATGGCCTCTTCTGTGACTGCTGTGGCATATGTGTGGATCACGGCTGTTGTGGTGTAGCTGATAGGAATTTCGCATGCAAGACTCTGTCCTCCAGCGGCGATTCCATCAGTCATCACTGGGTCAAAGGTATGATCTCATACGGTACTTTCCCGAAGAGGATTAGTAGGGGCTACACATGGTATTTTTTTTTATAACTAGATGTAAATGCTGCTGTTGTGGGTCAGGAATTCATCGCTTTTAAGAACAATTCAGCATTCTTTTGACATTTTTAAATGCTAAATCTCTCAGAGTACAAAGACAAGCAAGTAGTTCCTTTCTCGCCTTCGTTACCCTTTGTACAGGCGCTGTCTCCTCTTCACTGCTTATTTTTTTATAAAACATGTGGATAATGTCGGAACTAATCGTTAAGCCTATTAGGATTTCATGCTTTTCCGCTTCATGTAATCTCGGCTTGTGCAGTTGAAAATGAACACAACCAAGTGATGTCAGTTGATCACACTCAATGGTCATGCGAGACAGTACAGTACGAGTGTGCGACTGCATGGTCAGGCAGGGTCGGAGGCCAATCGTAATGGCTATCCCTTGCATATGGAGCAATCGAGAGCTTGTTTCGTCATGATGTCACGTGAACAGATTGCTGGCATCATGAATCGTGCTTATAAAGTGTTAGGTGTCAGGAAACAGTAATGCACTTATTTTCGTATTCATGGAGGTAGTCTAGGGGCTCAATAAAAAAAAAAAGAAAAACATATTAGTGAGGGCTCGTGCATGCGCTATTCACACAGCCGCACGCAAGTGGAGAGCAATAGAGCGTAATTGATATGCTCTTTTGCCCTCTGCTTGCGTGCGGCAGGTGTCTCAGCACATGTGGTGCGGGTAGCGCGTGTACAGGCCCTCAGTGCTACACGTGGGATAGGTAAAAATAAATCTTTGCGACTGATATGCGGAAAGTCGATAAACGAGCTGTCATTACAAGACAGCGAGAGCAAGCTGTAAATCAATGCAAGTTTTAGGAGAGTGATTATGGCTGAGGAAATGGCAACTGAATATTCGGGACACTACTGTGGCTGACTTCTCATCGAATGTGTGCAGGCAATACCTCTCCAAACAGCCGATGTGCGGTGTGCGGCCAGCTGTGTGGGCTGGAAGCAGCTTTGTCCGACTTCCGGTGCTGCTGGTGTCAGCGGACGGTGCACACAGGGTGCACGGGCAAGCTTGCTGAGGTGTGCGACCTGGGGCGACATCGTGCATGCGTGGTGCCGCCGTATTGCGTTCGACTGCGCATGGTCGGCTGGAAAGGGCGGCGCCACCTGGTTGTGCGCAGTGTCAACCCCCCAAGTTACAGCCCCTGGAGCCCGCTCATTGTGGTGGCCAATCGCCGCAGTGGCAACAATGATGGCGAGCACGTGCTCAGCGCCTTCCGTGGCATCCTCAACCCGGCACAGGTAAATGGCTTATCAACTTGTGAAACCTCAGTTTCAGTAGCATTTAAAGGGGCCCTCTAATACCTTTCCAAGTAATTCTGTAATGCGTTCATTAAAGAAGCTTATTTCCTTGTGGATTGACTACAGCAAAAATTTTTACAAGTCGTCAACTAAATGGGGAGTTCCGGGGGTTTGTTGAACACTTCAAGCGCTTTCTCTCTCTCTCTCTCTTTGTTTTAGCAACTGTGCTGAAAGCCACACATGGAGAGGGGCCAAGGGCTCAAGAAGCTACATATGTTCATCAATGCGCTTCATAACTTTTTTTTTTAAATGCCTGGCTTTGCTAGCACAGTGCGAACATGTTGCGGCATCTTGTGGCAGCTGTGATAACTGTGCAGCTTACTATGCTTAAATCAGCCAATTGCCATGGGCTTTGGGTTTATGGTACAGTCATTTTGGATTATAACACCTTTGTTGGGAGAAGAGCGAGCAATTTCTAGCCTTTCTTAAAATATAGTTGAGAATTCCTGGCCACTTGCTACGCTCTAATATTTGACTCACTAGTTTTAAGGATTCTTGACTGCCCATTGAAAGTGTTTTCTGACCATGCTCAAAGGCTGTTGAAGGGCTTAACTGTGCCTCAAAGCTTGCTTATGCTGCTCTTTTACCCGATGCTCTGGCCTGTTATCATTAAAATTTTGCTACTATGATAATCTAGAGTGTGCTTGGAAGACACCAAGCTTTCATTATTATTGTTGGTAAACACTACGCAGATCGGCAAAAAATTGGACAGCCTCTGTGCAAATAGGGTAGGTTCTCGTTAAACAGAATATGAAGTGAGCAGGAAAATGGGCTCCCTTTAACAGTACTTCCGTTTACTGAGTGGTTAACAAGAGGTACAATTCAACCATGAAACCAATGATGCTAGAGGCAGTTGTTCCATTTTAAGGAGTACTGACAAGATTTTGAAGCACCCTGAAAAAGGACATATTTCGTTCGCATGGTGTGCACTATCAATATTTTCCACACACCAGGGTCAGACAATACATAGAAAGTATTTTACATTGATTTTAAAGCTAATTGCCTAACATTGTCGAGCCAGCCCTACAGCAATGGACATTATCATGACAAGTCAACACAGTTCACTTGGTTTAAGAAATTTTCATCCTGCGTGCAACCTAAATCGCAGAAATTGATGTCAGAGTCTCTGGACTGTAATTCACTGATCGTTGTTTGCATGAACCACATGCGACTGACAGCAGACCGGCTGTTGTTGCTAGTATGTCGGGAGTTGCAGTCTTCGCATGACGTCAGACAACTCTTAACACGACACAGCGAAGCCACCTTCTCGATACTGAAACGGAAGTTGAAGTTGTTGTGTTAAGGTAGTGGGTATTAAAGCTATATTCAATCACTTTCTAAGCACCACGGCACTATTTTTTAGGGTTCTCGACACCTGTGTTTTTATTTAACACAACAACCTGAAAATATTTGAAATTCGTGTCAGTAGTCTTTTAAAAGAAGAGACTTTTGTTTACTGACAGTCTACTGTACCTGACAACTACTGGGGATGTCTTTAGGTATACAACAGTTCAAGGTCCACACAATAAATTTCAGTCGCCCACCGTTTATTTGGACTCGACGGGAATCGTCGAAAAGTCCGAATAATCGGGAGCCCGAAAAAACGGATTCACTCGAAAAAAAGCGCTTTTATAGGCCCTATCGCCCGAAAAACTGTCTAGGGTACACACATGCACGCTTCCGAGACAGTTTGCTTGGAAATAGAAAATTCCTGAGTCACTTCAGACTGAGGTCGGTTGCCTTCTACCTGGCGAATTATCTCCGCTTTCTTCGTCATCGTGAGCATCTTGTAGCTCCCACGTTGGCCGCGTTTCTTCACTCCCGACGGCGCAGCAACGGGTGGCGTCATAGCCATTTCAGCGTGGCACTGAACACGCAAGAGAGCGAGGCCAAGACGAACCAGGCCTAGCCGCAGAAGCAGCTGACTGACATGCTGACACACGCCAAACGCCACAAAGAACAGACTCCATAGGTGGCTTGGCTTGGCCGCTCGGCTGGCTAAAAAAAAAAAAAAAAAAAAAAAAAAAAAAAAAAAAAAAAAAAAAAAAAACCACGCGTCGCCACACATAGATCGCCACACACAGAGATCGGCAATGGCGATTTCTGCATGCATTTTGACACTGGCCCGACTTATGATTATGCTGCTCTTTGCTTATGCTGCTCTTTTACCCAATGCTCTGGCCTGTTATCATTAATACTTTACATACAAGCATATCAGCACTGGCAACCTAGCAAACGTATTGTTAACGTCGCTGTCAGCGTGTAATTGCTTATCACAATGCATCCGGTCAGTCAAACGAAGTCCGAATAATCGAATGGCGCACACTGGGGCGTCCGAAGTTTCGGTCATGAGTTTACCTTAGGATCAATGGGGCGAGTGGCGATGCCATGAAATGTCCGAGTGGCGATGCCATGAAATGTCCGAGTAAACGGGCATGTCCGAATTTTCGGGGTCCGAATAAACGGTCGGTTACTGTACTTGAATATAAACATTCGAAAGATGTCTGTCCAGTTGGGTATGAAAACTGGGAAATGATTTTAACTCCAAGCAAAAGTTTTGAAGAAACCCAAAGAAGAGGTCCACGTGATTGCGGATCTCAGAAAAAACGGATATCCAAAGAACTTTATTCAAGCCGCCACCTGCTGTGCAGAGCAACAGAGGGTGCGAAAACCCCAATCGGCGTTTATTGGCAGCCTTCTGAAATGTGTACCGGTCCCATACGTTCAGGGAACCAGCGAGATGTTGGCACGGATCTTCAAAAAAGAAGGGGTTCGCTTCGCACATGTGCCTTCAAGTACGCTGGGCCGTCTCCTCCCCCGCTCGAAAGACCGGCCAACAATAGACAGGACCCCCGATGGGGTTTACAAAATCATTTCGTTCTCTTCTTCGTATATCAGCGAAAGAAACGAAAAACTTACCGGAACGACTTAAACAACACGCCAAGGACGTGTGGAAGCTCGACAAAGAGCGCAGCGCAGTCGCCGAGCATGCTGAGACGTTGGACCACCAGATAAATGTCGAAGCAACGACCATCCTTGAAAGCGAGACTAACTGGAGGAGAAGGTTACTACTCGAGTCGTGGCATATACAGCGAACGGCCCAAAACATCAACCGCTCTCTCAGAACCATTCCCCCAGTGTATACACATGGGCTGCACTCCACCGCGAAATGAGAGAGAGAGAAAGGGGTCATAAACCACCCCGCGAGTGCTTTGAAGACACCGCTGCTACGTAGTCTCAGTTTCCCCCCGAGGAAGGAACCAGGTCGGTTCCGAAACGTCGGGTTTCTTGGAAAACTTTTGGTTGGAGTTTAAGACATTTCCCATTAAATTACTTGTGTCCAGCCAATGTGCTTCCATGTGCTCGAACAGGGAAAAATGCCAATATTCGAGGAAGTTCTTAATCAGGGTTTGGCTAAAATGAGCAAATGTAGTTGACTCAAACGGTTGTGCTAATGTGCCCTTCTACTGTCCCTAAATTTCGCAATGTTTTCCAACAATCATATTTCAAAGATGTTAAGAATATCGATATTAAAAAAAAAAAAGAAGGTACATGGTGTTCCTGATAGCGCTGTTCTTGTCAGTTTTCGAGCCTCCGGTTGTAAGTTGTTCCAGCATCACAAAAGATGAGATGAGCAATTAGTTTGAGCAAGTTTCTGCACAGATGTTTGTGAAGCAAAAACAAGACTGACAACCTTTTGTGAAAGCACTTTGCCACTCACCCTCGGCTTTTCCATGTTCACTGCAGCTTGTGTGCAGCATCTGATCTTCAATCTTTTTCTATATGTGGGGGCATACTTAACAAAATTCTTTGCCAGGTAGTGCCGCAGCCGGAGAGCGGTTTGGATGATGACTATAATGATCGCCCGCAGCTGTCGGCAGTGGAGATCGCCATTGCGGTGACGCTTTTGTCGAGCATTTACGGTGACGATGTCACCTTGGCGCAAATACGGGCGAACCAAAATGCTTCCAAGCGAAGTATGAGGCTAGGCAGAATCATGGACTTTTTTAAGCCTGCCTGATGCAATAAAGTTCATATTTCTAACAAAAACGAAATTTCCGGACTGTTCGATTGTTCAGACTTTTTTTTCGGTCCCCGCCTGGTCTGAAAAATCGGTCAGCGACTGTACATGATTTCGCTTGTCGAAAAGTACAGTATTTTTAGATCATTGCCAACTTGAACTGAAACGTATGAGGCGACTGACAGACAGATGTCTGGATAAGTCAGCACGTGGCCTGCTGTTAAGAGTTCTGATATTCAGCTAATCAAAATAGCTACTGGTGAAATGCTTTTGATGTAATTAATTCGTTTTGCCTTCCTTTATGCAGGTGGTGGACTTGAATGACCTGCCACCAGAATCTGCCCTCGAGTGGTGTCACCTGATAAAAGGTCACACTTGCCGCATCATAGTAGCAGGGGGTGACGGCACGATCAACTGGATTTTCACTGTCATAGACAGGCTGAAACTACAGGTGCGTTTTGCCTATGTTTCGTATTACTTCCTGACCGAGATTTGGTCATCCCTTGTGATGTATGGTCTCACAAGTGGGAAGAACTTGCATGGCGTAAGTGGAATATCAAGTGCTGGTGGAACAAAACACATTGTACATCAGAGTGCAAACAAATAAAGAGGCTTCTGTGTCAAAGTTGTATTGTGGAACCTGTAAAACAGCTGCTTTCTTCTGAAGTGTGGCGAATGAGTTTCAAGAGTTACATTTTGCGGGCTGACGGTGTGTTGGAGAATTTAGAGTTACAGTGCAGAACTTGTTCAGTATCAGCTCAGCGAGTACTACAGTCAAGCTCACATATAAGAGCCCAACTTAAAATGAACTTTTCCTTAAAACGTGACCATGGAAATATACATTATATTTCAATGGCACAAAATTGCACTTGCAATGAACGTCTCTGAGGGCTGCTTATCGGTTTCAGCGAACGGAGTCTGCACTCCAGTGACTTCCCGAGACACCACTTTCGACCACCGATAAGCCACCGGCAAGGTGCCCATAGATTTACTGTTAAACGTTGACGCTGCCTCTGCAGCCCTTTAGTTGTAGCTCTCCCTAACCGTTTTTTGTTATGCACCTCTCCATCCTTTGTTCCCCTGCTACTCTGAGCGCCCTGCATTGCCAGACGAGGCCATGTTTTCACATTGCCAATGATTTTCCGAAAACCGGTAGGCTGACAAGTCCTTTCTCGGTTTTTGATTGCTGGTTTTGTTACACTATCGTTAGCGTTGCCAGCCTTGAGTGACCAGACCATCTGCAAACATCATCAACCGTTAACTGTACCCGATTGTCTGCGTCTTGTCTGGATAAGTCTCATATCGTTCCAGTGCATGCGCTTGTGCTACCCCACCGACTTTGATAATTTGCTATTCGTTCCATGTTTAGGACTTGTTCTTGCTCACTTCGTATGGGTGCGGAAGTGTAGAAACAGCTGTTACACGTTACGAATTGCAAATAATGCAGTAGGTCGAGCTGCGCAACCACGCCAGCACCATAATGTGATTATTTGACCTCTGCGCATGCAAGCCACTCTCCCATGTTTTCCTACGCGTGCGTTGTGCATTTCGTGGACCTTTCAAACAAGCTAGCCGACCTGCCTTTTTCTTGCGTGTTTTAGTTTTCAAGGTCCCCTTCCTGACGTATGCTCCTCTCTTTATCGCAACTCCTTCGCCTGTCTCCACCCCTTTGTGATCAGGAAGTTTCTATGAGGAATCTGGCTAGAAATGGGCCTAAAACAGTCCCACGTGTCCTGGCTTGTATGTCACGCGTGCGCGTCTTGCTCGCTGCTGTGCGTGTGTGGTCAGGATGGTGCATGGGAGGCCTTTCGCGTCTTTTCCTGCCACTCAACACAATACCGAAAGCGCAACCGCTTGGCTTGGGTGTAATCGGTGTGTTCAAGACCTATTTTAGGTGCTGCGTTGTGGAGTGCTTGCTCATAGCTGTTGACCGCCCACCAGCTGACTTGCCACTTGGAAGTGTCCCTGTATTTAGCTGCAGAGATGGTGAAGGCTACGTGGACGGAGGTAACAAGTACATGTGTGCGAAGCTGTTTCCACGAGGCTGACTTCGTGGATGTCAGATCCGATGCTGAGCCTGAAGCACCCGAACGAGACCACTTCGATTGCATTTGTGGAAGTGGGTCCTCGAATTCATTAAGAGGCGAGACTTCTACTGCGATGTTTTTGTTACAGCCGATGATGATGCCGACACTGTGGGGCCATGCGTGGATGACGGCTTTGTGAATGAAATGCTCGGAAAGAGCGATTTGGAAGAATCACATGATGACGACGACGAAACCTTAGAGCCAGTGCCTACAAGGGTGCCAGTAGAATTAGGCTGCATTAATAGCCTCTGGCAGCTTGTATATGCCAAGGGCTTCGGCAAACAACACCCTGCTGCTTTAAATAGGCTCGGAATTACTTTAATCACTTCTGCTCTTCGAAACACGTGTTCTACAAGCTTTTTGGCAAAAAATTTTGTGTTTTCACATGCAACTGTTTAAAAGCTGTGTTTTGTTGACTACAAACTTCAGCATACAGGGAATAGATGCCACGTCAGGCTCAGGTTCGTTGTAATTAACTATAAGTAAATAACTATAGGTATTCGTTACAGACAAGTCCAGGGGTAGTGCCAGACCCAATTCCCCTGTCACCCCACCCCCCCTCAAAAAATCACATGGAGGGAATGCTGATGAGTGGGGCGAAGCATCCTTGTGTCCGTCCGTCCATGCATGCGTCCTATCACGTTTGAGAATGCTGATGGCGCGCAGGTAACACCGACGAGGCGCGAGCCAAGGAAGCCTGGCACAAGCGTCTTTAACGCGCCTGCCGCTATGCTTCGTCCATGCCTCACCAACGATCCGACAGGTATGGCCATTATCCAGGAGACTGAGAGAGGCACTTATTCTCCCTGTACCCAGGCACAGCCCTCGCAGCAGCCAATCGGAGAGTAGTGGTACAGTGCCATCTAGAATATTCTCAGTAAACTGCAGTTTGTACGTACAGTGAAATACCGTTATAACGAACCTCAGATTAACGCTTTTTTCAGATTAAGGTGAGATGCGGGTCGAAAAACCGCGATATTTTTTTCGAAAAAGTCAATTTTGTGTTTTTGTGTGTTTTGTATTCCTCCAAGCCTTCTCCTTAATATATTAAAATATCAAAGCTGAGAATCAACTAGAAGTTATTGAAAAATACAATTAAAGGACTCGCGTTGGCTCTTGAAAGTGCGAAATTACCAGATTTTTGTGCACGCGGCACTTCGCTCTATGGCATGGCCTGCTCTTGAAATTTTATGGGCATGTAGGCCTGTCCCTCTTCTCCCAGAGCCCACTTTGGCAGAGCGGCATTCATGCTAAAAATACAACAGAAAATTTTTTTTCCCACTGCATTCTAGCGTGGCGAGTGGGCCTTCGAAGTTACGTGGTATGATCGCAGCCCTGCCATTGGTTGCGAGCATACCACCGCGCAGTCGGATGCAAGCATTTTCTTTGTTCTCCTGCTTTTTCCGAGACGTCGACAAACACGACCGCTGGAGTTATTATTCCCGCGCCATGGATGCCGGCGAGGAACTTTCGTTCACGGAAGTTCATTACGCGGCACCAGTACGAGGGAAGGCGCCCCAAATGCAAGCAGTGAGCGCCGGCGAGAGGTTCGCCTGTGGCTAGGCCTAGCCGTGGCAGCAGCGATGCACCCGATTTAGATTGTTCGAGCTGCATTCCTAGCGTCGATGACTTCATCAGTGCTTCAGAGTGAAAGAAAAAGATGTTCGTCGACTAAAGCAAGTGTCGGGACGAACGCGAAAGCACATTTAATTGTGAGACCGATACGGTGCAGAACCTCGTCAGCGGCGCAGTATGCTCCAACTGCGGCGGTGCGAGCTGTCCATTTGAGTAATGGCAAGTACACGATAAGGACTGGCATCGTTTTCGGAACTTTAGCGCCGAAATGACGCATGTGCTGCAACTGTTGTTCCATCCACGTACGCGTCAAGCCGCGTGTATCTGTCATGCAGTGAAAGTAAGACGTCCGCCAGCGGCAGTGCACCGGACAGCTTCACTGTAAGCGTGAAGTTGGTGGTCGCACCGCATGCGGTCGGCGTCAGACAGCTTGTGCTGTTTTGTGCAATCATTGGTATTAAAAAATCAGTGCATCACAAGAACTGCTATTCGCAAAAAAGAAAGTGCATACCGCCGCCAAAAACCTCGCATGAGCCCTAGAGCAACGGCCCATTGTTGCAGTACAGAAAAAAAAGAAAAGGCCGTCGGGAGGAGGCAGCTTGCAAAGATAGTAAGATTATTGTGAAACTGTCAACTTTTTCAAGATAGCCTTGCTGATATTCTCTGTGAATTTCACGCAGATTGGTTGAATAGTATAGTATTAAACATATTTTTGAACTTCCAAACCTCCTTTTCTTAGTTCCTCGATTTTCGACATTTTTTGAGCTTGTGCACTTTAATTTGTGCGCTTTACATAGTCGGATTGAAATGAAACTTTGCATGCTTAAAGTTCAACATGTCCTGAATTCAAATAAACAACTTTCAGAGGTCTCCAAAGCATATTCAGCTAGATAATTTCAGAAGCTTGTTCCTTGAGTATGGTAAAACTTAAACTCAGCATTAGAATTCTTTTCTAGGCCAGCACACAAATGTTACACAATGTTTATTTGCTTTATTGATATCTGCAATTCATTAGGAGCAACATTTACTACGCTTTGGAGCTTTCTTGTGCTTACTATTGTTGCGTAAGCTTGCACAAAGATGCATTGTTTTTACGAATGCATGGTCTGCAAAAAATTAACTAAGTGAGCCATAAAAAAATAAAAGCAGATTTGAAAAGAGGAGCTCAAACTCTATAACTGGTGAAAGTTTCATTGAGCTGTCACAGATATCTGAACAAAAAGTTTTTCGAGGAGCATCTCTCCTTAACGCATATTTCGAAAGTTCCCCTCCCAATGTCCATTGATTCAATGTAAAAGTATTTCATTACTACGAATTTCAGAGCAATGAATGTTTCAGAATAACAAATGGAATTTGATCGCCCAGCAATCTTAATAGCACTTCAAAATAACGAATTACTAGCGGCGATCTACCGTATTTACTCGCATGATCCTCGCACTTTCACCGCGCAAAACCGACGAAAAGTTAGATGGGTGCAATAATTGCGCAGGGAAAGTTTTTTGCGAAAACCTACAGAGCGAAAAAGAAAAAGAAGTGGTCGCAAATCGGGATTCTCAGGCCAGCAACTATAAATTTTTAAGTACTGATCGAGACTTACTTTAACATTAAAATCACAGATTCAACACAAAGCAATTTATTTGCAGACACTAAAGCCACTGTCCACTGTTTCAAGGGCCTTTGTGTGGAGACCCTTGTCATAATAAAGAAGTTCCGCCTCAAGCTGGGGATATTTTGCACTCAGGCCTACGGAACATCCGACGCGTGTTGGTGGCCTCCAGTTTTTCGTGCT